GGACCCAAACAGACACGCCCGGTCAGACCCAACGAGACCGCACTCTCCGTTCCCCGCGAGTGTGCCCACTATCTACAACTTTGGAGACAAAGTGGAGGTGCTGCAGTCCCTGCAGGTATGCCCACACAGCTGTGTGACAGGCGGTCGTATGTGTATGTACTGGTACTGCTAGCTGTCCCTTGCAAGGCCTGTGTCTCCGGAAAGTTGGGTTGTATACGCACGTGTCCAGTACAGAGTGTTGTATAATTGTTCTTGATACGGATGTGTTACGTACATGTGCCTGTGCCGAGGAAGGACAGGACGTTGTACACGTGACGATTCTGTCACCCATACTTAATCTCCATGAGCAATGTGTGAACGTGTCTGTCTATGTCCATATGGCAACGTATGTAGCATACAGCACAGACTATCTCGCACAGTCTTGGCAACGCCTTCTGGCCACCACCTACTTGACAGGCGATCTATTTATAGAACCCGCGTGCACTATGGAGTGTTGTATTTCTGGTTATTCCTGTACTTGTTCTGACCGCCCGCCTCTATATCTCAGTTTGGGTACGAAGGCAACATATAGGAAACCGAATCCCTCTAATTGTAGCACTTAATATTCAGTACGTTTAACCCTTAAGAATTGGTCGCTTCTGGGTGGTGACGGCCAGACCTACCTGCTCCCATGTTACATTTGCGATATGAGACTTAATCTGTGCCACTGTGGTAACGTGTGCCACTGTGGTAACGGATATTTACCATCAAAACCTTAAATGACTAACTCTCTTGGGCAGCAAAGTTTTGATATGTACGTCCCGGTCATATACTTGCAACATGTAAACCTTTTTATCCCCATTTAACATCTAGATCACGACCTATTTCCCTGTCCCTGTGTATTCGTTATTCTCTCATCTAGAAACTCGATACGTTAGCCCTGCTGGGCAGTGACAGCCAGAGCTACGTGTTCTTCTTACACTTATCATGTTCCATTACCCACCCCTGTGAGACCTGATGTCTTATTACTAGAAACCCGAGGAATTAACCCTGTCCCTGTGGCAACTTGATATTATATTTTTAGAAACCCAAGAAGCTAACTCTGCTGGGCAGTGACGGCCAGAGCTACCTATTCCTGTGCAAACCCAACGATGACCTGCGCACCGACAGCCGTGTGATGGAGTTCTATTCGATGATCAACAAGCTGCTTCGGAGAGACGCTGTGGCAAGGTGCGTACGTCACCCATTCTATTTATAGATCATTTCAAAGTTAGTAGTCCTACCTACATATTATGGAACATCGGTTCTTCGCATTGCTCTGCCAAGCATATGCGTTCATGTATCACATCGAATGGATCATCCATTCCCTATGCAGTATTAGGGTAAGCACTCTCTATGTATCTCATCAACTGACACATTCATAGGCTCGTCCGTGGCAGGTTTAGCCTTTCATACTTCAAGCCCAATATTACGCTCTATTGTTGTGTGCTCCAAGCACCCATATGTTTATCAACCTGTACCATCATGCTCTTATGATAGTATTTCTCTTATTTATATATATATATATATATATATATACTATATATATATATATAGTATATATATACTATATATATATAGTATATATATAGTATATAT